TATTGCAGGTGCTAGGACGCCTTGGGGAACCATTACTAATGCATGCTGGTAGAAAGCGCTTTGTAGTTGTTTTCTGTCAGAGAGGACTTGAGTTCAGAATAATACTTTCAAATGACACCGTTAGGTTTGCATTCTTTTATGGAAGGAATACAGGAGTGTGTACCGAGACTGGTGCATATGATGTTGTCCTGATGTATTGCTTGAACAAATGCGGGGTCACACAGCCACTGACACGCGATGATCAACACCATCTGGAAGTATGATTTATGAAGCGTGAAGAACCTATCATCAGTCACGGAATTATGCCTGCCTTAAAGTGACGAATGAAAAGGTCGCATGCAACGGTTAAGGACATTGAGGGTTCATATATGGTCAAACTATTTCTCGGCAACTTCTTGCAAGGTCAATTGGTTAGTTGTGTATGCCCGGGAATCATTTCCGTACGTTTGTATCGTGCTCCGTTTAACCCCGTGGAAGTACACAAGTCAAATCTGTGTCTGCAAAGGTTGAAAGGACAAATACGAGTTTCTCGTTTGCCTCTGTGATTATAACTGATTCCTTTTAGTGGCACGCAGAAGGCCCATCCAGACTGTTGGGATTCAATGAACCCACAGTTCTTTTGGCCAAGAGAAGAAAGTACATAGTTTATGTACACTTAGACATTATTTCTTTCGCAAATAATGACTCAGCGCTAGTCAGACAGACGCTAGTTCTGACGGCCATGTGAGGAGGTCCTGCACGTTGCACCTTGGAGACTTCCCGCATGAGCAGACATCTACGGCACATCTGCATCTTCCACTAACTGGTCTCCGGAGACAGACGGCGATTTTCCGACAGAACAAAAGTCCTTTACGCCTCCACATGCCCTTCTTCTGCCTATACACGCAGCCCTTGAACAAAAATGAAACGCTTGGACGTCAGACAAAGGTCTGGTCTGTCTGACTTCCAGTTTGTAATTGTGCCGGTGTGGACTCTTCGCTCGAATTCTTTCTCGTCTTTCTCGCCACAACTCTAAACATTTCGTCCTTCTCATCAACAGTCTATAAAAAGCATCACAAAGTAGCTGTGTGCCGTCCATTACATAATTTGGCGGGGCGGATTAGATTTACATTCACTCCCATAAACGGCTGGGCGTCAATCCTATGGCCATCACACGCGCCACTTCCATAAAACAACAACATGATGGGAACCGCTCAAGGGCAAAATAGTAACGCTACAACGTACCGTGCCGTTACGTGTTCAACATGAACACACGTAGGTTCTCACGGGCACACTTCTACACGCCATGGCTCCAGTCAAAGTCCACAAACTTGCCAATCAATAAACGAAACTTATGTTTTGCTGAACGATGAAAATAAAAGATAGTGCGGGTTAACTGATTTCACATTAATCTGATGCATGAACCACAGCGGAACATAAACCTGTCATTATAAAGTTCACTGCAGATGTTTTATTATAGACGCTTCAGTACAGTAATAACTCTGCCACTGTCATATCAGGGGGACGAGAAGTTATGATGATAATGATCGACATGGAAAGACAAAAATGATCAGTGATTATGAACTATCATAACCGTAGAAGGTGCACCGTAGAAGGTGCTACCTTACTGTGTGGGCGATGCGCGTGCGCAATTGACTGATATCACCACGTACACACTGTGCTAGGTGAGCAATTTCGTGCTTGATTTCATCATCTTGAGTTGTGATTTGAGGTATTTTAAAATTCTTTTCACGATTTGTTTTGAACCTACACACTAGAGGCGGAGGAATATCAATGGAACTGAAAAATTATTGGCTCGTGTAGCCTGATGAAGCAATGTAGCGGTTGTTACATAATATGTATACACACAGCGTAGTCAAGTATGTGCTTGTTTGTTTGTTTGTTTATTTATGTATGATGCTTTTTCACATACATGAGTAGTGAACAGCACGGAGGAACAGGTTTTCATGTTAGAACACCTTTTCAAAGCCATCATACCAACAGGGTCATACTTAAAATCATAATACATTACATAACATAACATTATAGATTTACAATTACAATTACAAGTAATAAATATACTTATCGTGTTGCGAGTTATATGATAACATGTTTAATCTTTAACAGTATTCAAAACAATTAGTGTAATCTATCAAAGGAATCAGTATCACAACAGTTCGTTTCTTCCATTGGTATAATTTCACTGATGATTTGACTCCACATCTCAAACCACATTTTTCCTGCAAGAAGTCATTAGCAACTCTTTCTCCCTTATCCAGAAGAATTTCTTACAAGAGTAAATGGTTGGTAAATAATTTCCGTCCTTGGCATAAATGTCAGTGGCTTGTTGCGAAAATAAGTCCTAGGGGTCGCTGACCTGTTTCACGTCCGTTGCCACGTGGTTATATAAAGGTCACGGAAATAGGCTAGCCTAGATACGATAGGTCACGGGGTCTCTTATCAATTTTCCCGGAGATTTGTTCCCGCTGAGCATTACGGACGGCTGGAACATCAAGATTGACTTTCCGTGGGAGCACCTGCTGCTCGGAGATCGAATTACTGACGAGTGTGATGCTAATTGTTTTTCCAGCGCTTACAATTTCTGTTAATAACCATTTTGCCGCAATCATTTTTCCTGTTTTTCTCTCCTAGGTTAATCATATTTTTTGTATTTCCTGTGCAAACATCTCAAATTACTCTGACTGGGGAAGTTGCCAGGTCTCTCCCGGCCCAATCAGCTTCTGACAGTTTGGTTTACAACAAACTTTTCTGAAGGTTGGAAACACAGCCCTTTAGTTTAAATGTACGACGTGACTGATGAAATGGTGGACTTACCGAGTACTACCTATCTAACCAGCTCAGAAAAGGAACAAGAAATACTCATGCATTCAACTCAAGCCGTGGTTGAGGACTTGGAAAATCCGTTTGTCCTTGACCTATCGTAGAGGGAATGTCGTTGCCCCCAACTGCAGTTGGGGCATCATCACTAGATAGCTTTTTAAACAGGCTTGCGGCTAGATGCACTTGAGGTCAAGTATGACCGGTATTTTCTAGTAATACCCGCTATAAAGATGCAGAAGCTGGTGTGTTGCGCCGAGGGGCAGTTACACACACCGGCTATACAGATTCATATGCAGATTCTGTCAGTCCTTCCTAAAAAACGGAGCAGGAAAGTGCTATTTTAGCGTTCTCAAGAATATCCAGGTGAGTGGCATGTACGTGGGGATTATTCGCCCAATGACGCGCTTAGATCATGTGGTGCTATAAAGGTGAGGAAAATGTCAAAAATAGGCACAAGAGCCCAGAAGAGTTGTCTATACCACACCTTATGTAAGGCTGTTGACATTTCAAGCTGGGGGTTTGCTTCTTCACCGGTTGCTTCAAGATTGCATTAGTGAGCAAATGGCGATTTTTCTTCTGCCAGCCTTGCCGCATTATGTAACATTTTAATGAAAAAATCTTCGAGTAATTGTCATCTACTACCATTTTCAACATATGTATGCACTTATCTCAAATTTCTGACATGAATGACCAGAAAATTTCATTTCTGTATCGTCCTAATGTTACATAATACAGCTTTAATAACACTTTGTTGCAATCATCATATTGTTGCCGTACTTCAGTGCAGACATTTTGATCTACCATTACTCTGAAAGTTAACATCTGACCAGGGGGCCTCTATTACCGAACAGGCTTTACATCCCATCAAAATGGTCCCATTTTCCTTTGGGAAGGAGCGAGGGACAACTAGCCCCAGTCTTTGTTTCAGGGGGCAGACTCAATCCCTGTAACTTGGCACTAAATGGCAGGAGGCTGTGGTTCTTAGGTCGTGTACTTGTCTCTGGAGCTAGACCTATGATATACGACGGAAATACGGACTGCAGGCGTGTCTGTTAGAAAACGACATACTCGGGGACATACTTGCAGCTTGATGTATAACATAAAGCTCCAGACACAACGATGAGAGGAACATACCAAGTGATGACTGAGCCTGATGTTGTCCTTGGATGACTTACATGTCCTTAGGCGATACCGTTTTGTAAGTTCTGATGCTTTGTGGATGTCTCTCGTCAGAATGATTGCTCGGGGTTAGAAATGGTCGACATGGCAGACATTGTGTAACAGTAGTTGATGCTGATAGTCACGGTGGTCTCCATTAACCTCCATTTTATATACACAGGACATGGACAAAATTTGATAGCTCCATGTTTTGCCGTTAGTTGCTGGTCGTGCGTAGTTATGATTCATCTCAAGTTTTAAAGCACCGCAAAGTGTTGAGTATAGAAGCAAAAGACATACTGTATCCGTAATAACAAGAGGTATGTCAGCTATTTCAAATACTGTTTCGAATTGCAATTGAATCATCGTGAAGGAAAAAAACATAAAATGAGGTTTTCACTAAATGAAATGTCCAAAACTCTTCACCTCAGCTGCATGTCTGCGTGGTTTGTGTGCTGGCTATACACCCGGGAAATCAACTCCGGAAGTGAATACATACATGTATCGACTCCAATCCGCAATTTATGACTTAAGCCACTTTGGGTCGGAAAATGAAGGCTTACCTCGACTTTGAGAATGGAATTAAAGTCATTATTGAGTTACAACTGAGGCTTGAGAATCCATAATCCTGCCCATCAGCAGGCC